AGCTCAAAGAGCCCCCATGACTTCATCACTTCTCCTCAAAGAAACTGCCCCTTTAAGCTAAAAGCATACAAGACTGACACAAATTTCACTCTTGTACTTATAAGGCAAATTGTCTTCAATTAGATCTGCTGCAAAGGCAATATAAAACTCCCCAGGTCTCAGGGACCATTGTGGAAAACGGGGCGGAAAGATTGTAAGAGCATGACCACATGGAAAATAAAAAATTATTTATTTACAAAAAATTGTAAGAGCATGACCACATGGATTGTTAGGTGCATGACCACATGGAAATAGAGTCTGACAGGCTCCTGGGACCTTGCTCATAGGAACTTATAGCAATGGTGTCAGTATGCACAAGACCCATGCAAACTCAAGCAAACAAAAACCCAGCACAGAACTGTGGAAATGGGGAGCAGGCCCCAATCTTAGCTGAAGAATTATTGGCAGCTGATTACTGCTGGGTGAGGAAGAGCTGATCTTAAAGGCAGGAACTCATCTAGAGTCTAGACTGACTAGACCTCAGTGGATGAACTTTCACTGAGGGACATCTGGGGACACTAACTTGACACAATAGACCTTAACAGGAATGACAGAATGTATGAATTCTGACGTGGGAAGGGTTAAGGGAGGGTGCCAGTGGGACAGGCTCTATAAAGATGATTAAGATGTTCTGTATGAAATACACAAAAATTCAATAAAAATTTACAACCCCCCCCAAAAAAAAACCCTTAATACACGTTGTGAGCTGCTCACTTATTATCTTCTAGGACTACCTCAAAGTTCCCCTTGATATTTCATTTAGATTTCACAAGCATCAAAAATGTAAATTTCTCTGTGCATGGCAAGCTCAAAGAGGGTAGGAGGGCAAGACAAAAAAAATGCCATTTGGTAGTTCCCATGGTGCCCATGCTGGTGGTACTGTATACTAGTGGATCCACTTTGAAAACATGCTCGTAATTCCTCAGAAATTAAATACTGATTTGCTCATATGTATTTGCTTTTCTCATTGCTGTGACAAAATGTCCACTAAAGCAATGTAAGGCACAAAGGGTTTTGTTTTGTTTTGTTTTGTTTTGTTTTGTTTTGTGTTTGTCTCACAGTGTGAGGGCACAGTCCACCATGGTGGGAAGGCCTGGCAGCAGGAACAGGAGGGAGTTGGCCACACTGTCCTCAGTCAGGCAGCAGAGAAAGATGAATGCTGGTGCCCGGCTGGTTTTCTCCCATTCTGTGCAGTCTGAGACCTCAGCCCAGGGAATGGTTCCCCCAGTATTCAGGGTGGGTCTTCCCTCTTCTAGAAATGCCTTCACGGAAATGCCCAGAGGTTTATCTCTTAGGTGATTCTAAACCCATCCTTGTGGACAGTGAAGATTAGCCACTGCATGGTATAACCCAGCAACTTCTGCCCTAGGTTCTGGACCCTCTGTTTCTTGCCTTATGGTCAAGAGAAATAAAAAAATATACCTATACAAAACCCTACACACAAAATAGCAGCATTACTTAGACTAACCAAATGTGGAATCGATTCAGAGTTCCATCAATGGATAAACAAAATATGATACATTCATATTATTAGTCAGTTTAAAAAAAAGTATTGATTCATGATACACATGGATGAACACTGAAAGTATTGTGCTAAGGGGGAAAAGCCAGACACAAAAAAATCTGTATATTGTGTGATTTTATATATAGGCAATGTTCCAAAGGTAGATTTTCATTTGCTTAGGGCAGAGGGAAAGGGACAATGGTGACTCATCAGAAATAGGTATGGGTTTCCTTTGTGATGCTTGTGCTCTAACTTTAATGGTGATACTGTACAATTTTGAGCATATTATAATTACTCAGCTGTGCATTTTAGAAGTGTGAGTTTCATGGCATATGATTTATGTCTCAATAAAGCAATATATATATGTATATTATATATAATATAATATTTTATATATATATATATATTTTAGTCTTTTTAGAGACATGGTTTCCCTGTAGCTCCTGGCCTGAAACTCACCATGTAGACCAGGCCTGCTTCAAACTCACAGAAATTTGTCTGCCTCTGCCTCCCAAGTGCTGGGATTAAAGGCATGTGCCACCATGCCCTGAAATAAGGCCATGTTTAAAGAAGAAAACATGAAGTTAGATGCCTTCTTTTCAAGGTAAAGTATTCTCTAGGTAACAGGAAACCAGAAGTTTGCTCTCTATCTTCAGATGCTTCATCAGCAGCTGAGCATCTCCACAGCTGGGAGGTAGCCTGGCAGACAGTCTTATCTCTCATTCCTTTTGTCCAGAATGATGGCAGGTAAATAGGAAGAATGATCCTATCGCCAGCTGAGATTTCTTTTCCTAGCAGAAACTGTTAGTCTCTGTACAAGTGGCTTTGTCTTAACACTCATACAACATGACACAGGCATGCTCGTTGGGGTCATTTATATGTACATCCCTTATGTCACCTTTTCTAAAAGTCAGTTTGGGGCTGGGTTGCAGTTCCATGGTAGAACACTTGTCCAGCCTGCATCAGAGCCTGGGTTCATCCATAACCCACACAGGGTAGGAGTCAGGTCATTGAGGTGTAATTAACATGCAAACAAAGGCACTTTTCACAGATTTCCAGGTCATTTGTAGTCAGGCCGCTACCAGCACAGCTGGGATGTAAACTAGTCCCATGATCCTCAGATGTTCCCTTTAGAAGGAACTTTTGCTCCCCACCTCTAGCACTGGTATCCCCTGATCTGATTTCTACCTCAGGGCACTTTTAAGATTCCTATTCTATATTATTATGATTCCTAGTTTGCTCTACTTAGGATCCTGGTTCCTATTTCTCCAGTGCCCAGTATGCTATCTGATACCTAAAAGTGAATGAAAGAATGAATCTTATTTTCTCGTGAAGCAGGAGGATCAGGAATTCAAGGCCAGTCTGGAAAGAGCAAACAAAAAAGTGTGTGTGTGTGTGTGTGTGTGTGTGTGTTTAGGATGGAAAAATCTTCCATCCTGAGAGCTTATTTTATAAAAATGATACAATAATTTCTAGCCACAGAGATTTGCTGACTGTTTCAAAGACTTCCCCAACTTTCTTGGTCTTGCTCAACTGAAAGGCTGGCCTCTGCTCTCTCAGTTTGAGCAGATGGAAATAAAATCTGCAGTCCTCTAAGGCTACTTGTCTCTGCTCCCCCGTCTGCTCTCTCTAGTACCACAAGGTAGAGGTTCATCCAGAGCTGCTCTGAACAAGTTCTGTGAGATTCCAGACCATCTTCATGAACTCCTGGGATGGAATCCTAAGAACATTTCTCATCACTGAGGTGTGGCCCTATGAAATCTCACCTGCAGTGGCCTCATCAGTCAGGGATCCAAGCCCACTGACAAGGCAGCTACAGGTGGGTTGACACAGGTGTGTTCTAGTCTGATTCCTTTTCAATCTTGATGTGAATCAGAAAATGGACATACTGTAGCTGGACCTGGTGGCCTGTAATCTCACCTGCTCTGGAGGCTGAGGCAGTAAGGCCACAAGTTCAAGTCCTGCCTGGAGTGCAGAGTGAGTTCAAGGCCTGCCTAGGAAATTTAATGCGCTCCTATCTCAAAATTAAAAATGTAAAAAGGACTAGGGATATATAGCTCAGTGGTAGAATACCTGCCCAGCATGTGGAATGCCTAAAATTAAAACCCCAGTACCACTCCATGAAATGGACACTGCCAGAGTGATTAGAAGAAGAATTGAGGGCTCGAGAGATAGCTCAGTGATTGAGAGCATTGGCTGTTTTTGTAGAGGATCTGGGTTCAATTCCCAGTACTCATATGGTGGCTAACAACCATCCATACTCCAGTTATGGGGAATCTGACTCCTTCTGACCTTCACAGGCATTGTACTACATGGATGCATTTACACACATGCAGATAATACATTCATATACATTATATATATATATGTATGTATGTATGAGAAATTGAATAAAATCTCTTTTTACTAGGCCAGTTCTACACATGGTCCAGTCCTTGTGAGACGGGTCTCTCCTTGAAATCTGTTTTCTCTTCTAGAGGGATCCATTTTCTCCAAGCAGAGGAATCTTTGCACACCTTCTGAGAGCTCACAGTCAAAGCCAACAGAACAGGTATCACAGGAAATTACTTTGGGCCTCTCATGATGTTGCACCTTTTTTTAAGAGAAAGCTTGGATGCTGGCATCAAACTTCATCTCTTTTTTCTCACCCCAGCACTTGTGCTCTGGTAGCTTTGGTGGAGCAGCTCTGACAGCCTATCCCTCTTCAACCTTTTAAAGGCATGTGCTCCTTGGTACAAGGATGGGGTTCTGTTGTGTATTGAGAAGTAAACAAAATACCAGGGCTGGAGAGATGGTTCAGCAGTTAGGAGCCCTTATGCTCTTCCAGAGGACAGGGGCTGGGGTCCCAGCACCCAAGACAGGCAACTGACTGTAACTCCAGTTCAGGGGAGCCAGACCTTCTTTTGGTCCATGTGAGCACCCGTAGACACACAAACACATACACCTAAATAAAAATAAATGAAACACCAAAAACATTTCAATTTTGTACATATGGAGTAATTGTGTAGTTCATAACCCCATGGACAGAGCAACCATTTCTTGACCCAAAAGAAATTCTTGTGACAGTAATATTAGGAGGATCTTGTAAACCATGCCTATCAAACTTGCCTTTAATACTGTCATAAAAAAGTTTTACTTTATCTTGCAGGTCCCACACCAGCGAGCACCAGCCAGCCCTCACATGGATACATAATGAAAATCAATGTAAAATAAAATGGAAAACAAAATGGTACCGTTCTGTCTATGTATCTATGCGCAGGATGTTTTGTTTGTATTCTACATCTGTGGGCCTTTGCATGGGAAAGGCCTGAGTAGGCGGCACAGGGAGAAGGCCCCAGCTCCTTCGATGGGTGGGCGATTGCAGCTGCTGCTGCCTGCACAACCCGGGTGGCCACGCACCCCGCCTGTCTCCTGGCGCGCTGGAGGAGGGCGGGAGTCTGCGCAGCAGGGGAGGAGAGGGTGCGGCCGCCGGTGGCAGGGTGGCAGCTCTCGCATCGCAGGCAGCGCCTCAACCACGCGGAATGGATGCTCCGGACTGCGAGGCGGCTGCGGAGCCCCCGGCCCCCGCCTGCAGCTGCGTGGCCGCCTGGTGGGACATGGTCAGGCGGAACCTGCGGTGAGTGCGCGCTGTGGGCGCAGGGGCACCTCGGAGCCGGGTCAGACAGCTCAGTTCTCGACAGCTCTGGTTGCCTGGGATTTGGCAGGGGCGAGGGAGCTGCGCGCTGTGGGCGCAGGGGCACCTCGGAGCCGGGTCAGACAGCTCAGTTCTCAGTTCTCAACAGCTCTGGTTGCCTGGGATTTGGCAGGGGCGAGGGAGCTATCTGACTATCATGAGACAAAACCTGTCCCTGTCCTCTGCGGGCCAGAGGCCAAGCTCTAGGGACCGAGGTTGGCAGAACTCCAGGATTCTTGGGGATGATTTATCCCCATCTTCAAACCATACCTAGACCAGCACGACTTGCATGTAAGTTTGGCGTTTCAGGAACTTGTAACTTTTGAGGGCTTTGGAAATAAGAGATTCCGAAAGGATGGTTCAGGTTCCTAAATCAGTCTCTGATCTGTTCAGTTTACTACTATACAGGATGGATTTAAATATTAATAATAATGGTGGCAATAATAGCACTCTCAGATGGCATCTTTTTAGGGAAAGGGCCTATGTGGGTGGAGAAAGATCAGATAGTTACTGCTTGGCTCCCCAAGTGTGAATCCTCAGGCATGCATTTAAAGGACTTGCTGAACTGCAGTTGTATTGAAATCACTACATACGGGGTTACACATGTCAAGTTCTCAACATTCTTTAAATCGGAAAATGTCTATCATCCTTTTTATTTCTGCTTGCTTTTAACCACCCTTTCTCCCATGAATCTGTGGTGTGAACAGTCATCTTTCATGACTTGATCAGCACCATCAGCACGGTATCACTGATCTTATTTGCACTGACCATGGGTACTGGGTTGGAGACTGGTTTGGGATATGTGTGTATTTCCTTTTGCTTTGTTGACATGGAAAGGTCTTGGCACATTTGTTACATTTCTTTCTATTTCATTTTAATTTATGCTGGTTACAAACTACTCCAGAGTTAGTCATAGCAGGAGACTGTTCTTTGGAAAGCCCCAGGGATGATGACCAATGGGTATCCTTGCTCTGTGTTCCCTCCATTGCTTAGTGCAGAGGTCAGTGAACACTGGTCCAGCCACTTCCACATCCATACCTTCCCCCTTGTAATGGCTGCTGGGAAAGATGACACCCTACCTTCCTTTTGTATAGAACTGGTGGTTGGTTGGTTTAACAAAAACTCATTGGGCAGGAAAGAACATTTACTAGGCAGAGAGCCAGCTACTTTGTTGCCAACAGAGGACCCTCTGCCACTTGCCTACTGATTAGTGAAGGGCAACTCTCAAGAAATGCTTTCTTGGATTGGAGAGATGGCTTAGCGGTTAAGAGCACTGACTCCTTTTGCAGAAGACCTGGATTCTATTCCCAGAACCCACATGGCAGCTAACAATTGTCCTTTTCTGACCTTAGCGAGCATTGCCCAACATGGGTGCACGTACATACATGCAGGCAGTATACTCATACACAAAAAATAAACATAATAAATAAAATATTAAAAAAGAAATGCTTCCTGAAAGAATGAAATGCTAGCTTCTTCATCTGAGTGGGAAGAGTATTGATCTACTATAAGCTGTGCTAAGGCTGAGACACAGACCCTGTCGGTATCTAGAGACCTACTTACTTCTTTGAGCTAAGTAAGTTTGGATTAGCCAATATTCATGGAGCACTTACAGTGCCCAGCCCTGTGTAACACTGTCTGTTGCGATATGGCATAGGGAGAACACTTAATCATGCAGGATCTTCAGTAATTGTGTTTTAGTGCCTTAGTAGTATACTCACTTATTTTAAAAAATTTGTCAGATCGTTACTGCCTTAGGTGGATGGCACCATGTGTCTTTACTTACAAGTAGTTTAAACTAGAAAAATAGAAAATATGCTCAGAAAAGAGGTCGGGGGAAGCTGAAGAGTATTTCCTCCTCATTTTCCCTTGTGTCTCCCAAATTATTACATTTCTATCATAGGTGATATGTAGAGAACTCCCAGGAGTAGGCTGGTGAACTTACTTATCCTCTGCATAGTATAGGCTGTCTCCTATCAGGTGCTAACCCGGGTCTTGGACTCATGAGAGTAAACAAAACAGGCAGAAGTCTTGGCTCTTGCAGAGCTCATGTTGACTAATTTTTGATTGTAGTTAAAAAGTAAAGGATCTCAGAAAGTAACTGACTGTGACTAGTAATAATCAGATATATAGAGATTAGAGACCCATGTGCAAACATCTAAGTGTTAGTTGCATCAAAAATGAGTTTTTCTAGCCGGGCGTGGTGGCGCAATCCTGTAGTCCCAGCACTTGGGAGGCAGAGGCAAGTGGATCTTTGTGAGTTCAAGGCCATCCTGGTCTACACAGTGAGTATAGATTTATTTTTTAAAGGTTAAAAACCCATTCAATTTTATGTCTTACAGGGTTGATACTCAGTTCAATATCATATAACTCTATTAATTGAACTGTGAACCTGAAAATTTACAGCCAATTTTGAAAGAGATGCATCTTTGCTCTGGAAATTGTTATCGAATATGTCAACGCTGTTGTAATGAAATGCTTCTTCTAATCATGTGGTTATTAAATAAATAATTTAAAAATAGTTTAAAAGCAAATATATTCTACAGTTTGCTGCATCTTGTTTCATATAGCAACTTACTAGACTAGCTTACAAGTAAAAATATGGAAAGATAGTTATTGATGCTTTAAAAATGAAGCATTTTATTGTACTTTCTGTCATTAGAAAATTTATAACTGCAAAATATTATGAATATATTAAATAAAGAGTATTAAAAAAAACAAAAAATAACTAAAAGGATGGAGCCCTCTGTCCCTTCTGGCCTCCCCAAGTAAGCATTGCTGCTTTCTTCTTATAAACAAAACACATCTTGTAGTCTTTAATGTGTGGGTTAACAAATTCTTATTGAAATTGGCCCTGTGCTAGACAGAGAGGGATGTTAAGCTGTATATGCTGTGTGGTTCCTGGGCCCTGGGACACAGTGGTAAAGATGGGCTGATTATGGGGAAACAACTGAATAACCAATAACCCAGGGTCAAACAGGCCAGATCATAATGAGTGGGAAGGGCATGGAGAGCAGACCTGGATAGAGATGCCATGCCAGAGGGAAACACCTGGGTGCATGAAGGGTGTAAAGATGGTGAGGTGGAACCTGGTTGGGAGGGTGTGACCTGGTGCTGTGATCACCACATGTTGGCTGTGTGAATCAGCACATGGGATGGAGGTGAAACATGTCTGAATATTTAGGGTAGTTGTCTGGTTAACTGTAGTTTGATTTGGCCTCCCAGAAATTGGTTTGTGGACACCTCTGGGCAGGGATAATTCTCTCTATCTCAGCTTGCACTCCAGCAGGCTTCACCAGTAAGAATCACCAGCAAGGTTCTCTGGCCCCTCTGGGGCACAATGCAGTCACAGCCACAGCTGATCAAAAGGCAGTTGAGAGAATACCAAAGTGCCAAGGTGGCTGTTTGATGTGCCCAGCCTGTAGCGGGGATCCGGCTGAACCCGCATCCTCTGCTCAAATCAGGTCTGTTAGCCCCTAGTGACTTTTGATCCCCTACTGATGTAAGGGAAGTCAAACTGACAACTCCTTAGTTAAAAGAAGCACCTTTGCATTATTGATACTGGGGATCAGGTCACTCTATTCTCTTCCTACAATGCTTCTCAATGAAACGCCTTGAGCTATTTGAGAAAAGAGTCCTGTATAAATTATTCCTTAAAACAAACAACCCCCCCCCAACATATTTCCCTCCACTGTCTCTGCTTCCCAAGCAGACCTTCAAAAGGTAAGTTAGCAGGAGACTACCCTGCCTACCTTCAAAAGATAACTTAGGGGGAGGCTGGCAGGCAGGGAGCTGGAGTGCAGGCATCTGGAGACAGCAAGCAGGAGTGCCCACTGGAAGGAAGGCCTCCCTTGTGGATGCCTGCTCCTCTGTGTCTGTCCCAGTTACCTTGATCTGTGGCTCAAAGCAGTGTCTCTGGGTTCTGATTTTTTTTTATCTCTAGACAGCAATGTCCTGTCTTTCCTGCTGCCTTCATGGGGGCTGTTTTAAAGTGTTATGAAACAACCCTCTTCATGTCTTTCTTGCTGGTTCTCTGAGTAGGCAGCCTCCCATATGTGGTATATTTGAAAAGCTGCCCATTGCTCTGAGCCTGCATATATTTTCTGCTTCTGGAAGAAGTGCCAGAAATCCATCAGAGATTCATCACCTTCTTCCTTCCTGCCTCTCTCAAACAGAGATGTGTGCTTTGATTTTTAAGTCATCAATACTTGAGGGAGAATTAATTTTTCAGAAGTCTTTCTTTGATTACTTTCACAACAGAGGGCTCCTGCCAAGAGGAAGAGGAAGGGATTCTGAGCCAGGGCAGGGGGCAGAGGGAAAGGAGATTCTAAAATACTATTCTTTGGGGAAGTTTGGTGGAGGCCAGCCTTGTTCCTCGGGTTCTCTTTGCTTACATGGGTGGAGAGTAGAACTTGGGGGGGGGGAGTCTCTGACAGCTCTTTGAGATTACAGCAGGATGCTGGTGTCAGGCAGACCTGGGGGCTGTGGCTCATTTATTGGCTTGTGACCTTGGGAAGGATTTTTCTGCTTCTGAGACTCCTCCTTTACAAAGCAAGGTAATGATCTAACACCCTCTGGTCAAGCAGAAGAATGGGGCAACCCCCACCCCCAAGCACTTAGTGTTGACTAATCACCATAGGGAAAAAGATTTGCATAATGGATGATGTAGATAAAAGTCAGAGGCAGGAGAGGCTACTGCTAACCTTTTGTGTCTCTCACCTTTCAAAAGTGGGACACAGTCTTGAATTTCATGAAAAACGTGGCTCAAGACAGAAGTGGTCTTAGTGGGCTGTTGGTGGCATTCCGGTGTTCATGTTGCAGGGCACAGTGAAAGAAGGAAGATGTGTGACCCCTGTCCAGGTTCTATCCCTGTTGGAACCCCTCTGGCCCTTCCCCTATCTCTTTTACTGGCTCCTCAAGGGTCCCCCTCCTGTAGATATCACTTCAGAAGTGGGATCTTTTCTCATGGGCTGCTTTCTTCCTAAGACCCAGTCAGGAGAGTGAATCTGATGGCTGTCCTCGCAGAACTAACAGAGCACTGAGCTGTGGCATCATATAAAGCGTAACTCTGGCTCAGCTGTTTGGATCTATTTACTTAGGACTTTGAGGTCCCATCTAGGGCTCCTATGGGCTGCTCACCATGACACACACATCCTGCCTTCCCATTCACACCTGACGGCCTTCCTCACCTGGCTGCCCCTTAGTGCCAGTTTAGACAACTGCACGCAGCTGTATAAAGGATTTTGGTTCCGTGCCAAGATCCAGGGTTAGCCTCTGAAATTGGATTTAAGTCTGAAGAGAAGAGCAAATCCAGATAAAACTAGGACTGATTTGGGAGACCTTGTTAATGTCTCAATATTTTATAGATCTTTTCCACATTCCTGCTCAGCATTGGGAAGAAAAATTGTTGCTGTGCACCGAAGCTTTACGAGTAAATCTTTGAAAGAACATATCTTCCCTCGTCTGATGAACATGTTGATTTATTTTAATTGTTGTAAGTATATACTCTCCATGAATATTTCTACATACATTTTCCCAAATAAGGAATTTACTGAACTTAAGGTCATGACACAATTACTTGTTATAAACTGTGGCTACACTTAAGGGGGCTGAAACCTATTCAATATGGACTCTGGAGGTTAGCACGAATCCTTCCAAATGGCTGGGAATAGAGGAAGATGTGTATGTGTATGTGTGTGTGTGTGTGTGTGTGTGTGTGTGTGTGTGTGTCTGTGTCTGTGTCTGTGTGTGTAGGCCACTTCGTTTACTGAGGCATGGTCTCTTGCTGAAACTGCAGCTGGCCAACTTGCCCCAGGATCCCCTGCCTCTGATTCCCTGGTGCAGAGACTGGAAACTGCCATGTCCACCTGGCTTTTATGTGGTGCTGGGGGTCCAAACTCTGGTCCTCATTTTTGTGCAACTCCTCTGAGCTCTATTTACTGAACATCACCCCTATACCTCTGCCTCTTGTTACCTGCGTTAATTATAGAAGGCAAAGAAGGGAGAGAGGGAAAGAGGGAGGGAAGAAGGGAGGGAGGGAAGAAAGGAGAGATTACTATTTTTTTCCTTCCCTAGAATAATACTATCCTAGCTCATGCCCTCTGCTGTACATCAATCTTAGATGTATCTTGCCCTGTGGCTAATAATAAGGATGCTTCCTGCTGGCTTGCTTGTTTTTGCTTGTTCCCGCTAACCTTTTTGGGGAAATGGTTTCCTGTATTTAGACTGAGTAAGGATGCAGATGCATGATCTCTCTTATATCTTAGTTTGAAACTTAGAACTTACATCTAGTCACCTACAAAGGTGAATCCCTTTTTAAAATTGTGATTAACAGTCAAGGAATTTGATTCTGAGCTGATCATGATTTCTGCTTTACAGATAAAGCCCCTTTTCTTGTGGATTTAAAGAAACCTGAGTCAAAGATTGCTCACACAGTGAACTTCTACCTCAGGCCTGAGCCTGGGGTGCTGTTGGGCATCTGGTGAGTGTGTTGATTAGACATCAGGTTGCTTGAGGGAGCAGGACTTCCTGCTAGAAGGGTAGAAGGGAGCAGGGCTGTGGTGCCTGCCTGTGCAGAGGTTTATCCTCTGTAGAAGCTTCTGGAAGCAGTTCCACACACCCTTCTTTTTATTGTGAAAGCTCCCCTGCTCAATTTTATTTTACAGAAATTTTGCTTTGGAGTATGAAGTCTTTTAAATACTGCTCTTGGACTTTGGTTCCACCCTTCCCATCAGCCCCCTGCTCCACACACACTACTCATTGGCTTTCATTTCTTTGAATTTGAAGTTCCAACCATAGAATGTTCTGGAACAAGTGCATACAACTTCTTCCTAATCCTCAGGAACAGTCTAGCTTTTAGTTTGATTCTTTGCCACATGGGTTTGATGAGACAGCTGTGTTCAACTCAGTTGGAGGCCAGGGGTGCCTATGTTCCCGAGGTCCTTGGGATGGCAGGCTTTCTGTCCCTTAGTGACTGAGAGGACTGAAGATTTGTAACCTCTTGTTCAGTCCTGCAGGTCTCCTGTGAAATGGTACAGGGAGGCATTTGCATTTTCAAAGTTCTTTCACTAGTTTAACAAGATGGAAGTACTGGAACACAGGTCTTTAAAATTACTAGGTCACTTGGTTTCTTTAGTAGGATTGGGTGGCTTCCCTTGAGTAGAAACCCCCAGAGCTAAGTATCTTAGAAATTAAAGTGAAGAGGTCTGTATATGGAGAAGTGATTTGCATATATAATCCAGGAAGGCTCCTCAGGCATGTTACAGGCCAACTTAAAAATTTTAAAACATTTATTTTTGTTTCATGTATTTAAGTGTTTTGCCTACATGTATGTAAGTGTACCCATGTTGCACAATGCCCACAGAGGCCAGAAGAGGGCCATCAGATTCCTGGAACTGGAGTTAGGGATGGTTGTAGCTACCATGTGGGTGCTGGGAACCCAACCTGGGTCCTCTGCAAGAACAGCCAGTGCTCTTAACCACTGAGCCATCTCTCCAGTTCCTCACAGGCCAACTTTAAAGCATTTGACTCATATTCTGAAGTAACTATAATTTAATGGTGGGAACAGCACATTATGTTAACCATCTTTGATTGTATGCTAAAATCACCACATGTTCACATGCTGAAGTCTGAGTATTAGAACTTAAGCAACTATTGAAACATATCCATGCCTTTTTAATATACTGACTACAAAGCAAGAAAAAAAATAGCTTGGCTTCATGTTCAAGTTCTGGGTTTCTAACTTGTGTCTTCAGCCATATCAAGGCAGATGGTTAATATCTATTATCTTTTACTTATTTCTACCTTTTTTTTTTTTATCTTTTAAATGGCCTGTACCTCAGAACTAAGAAGTCTTAGAAGTCTTAAAAGCTTAGCAGAAACACAGTTTAAGAGGATTAAACCAGTACATGGTGAAAGGGTGTTGCCTCTGCCTGGGTGGTAGGGTAGGGCAGTAGAAGTTTTCATCATGAGCTGTTTCAGGATATTAGATTTTAATATTAGCTTATGCATATATTATTCAGATAAAAACTTTAGAAATACATTTAGAATATGCACACACATAGCTTTCTATTCCCCTTTCAACATAATCTTTCTCATAATGATATGGAAAGAGAGAATTACTGCCTCTGCAGGCTTGTAAACCTCTGTTTGCTTTTTAGGCACACGGTCCCCAGCTGCCGGGAGGAGGATGCTAAGGGGAAGGACCGATGCTGGTACGAAGCCGCCCTTCGTGATGGAAACCCCATTATTGTTTATCTCCACGGCAGTGCAGAACACAGGTCAGAGTCTCTGCTTGGATTTTTTTTTTCTTCTTTTCTAAAAAAATTTTTATAGCGATTAAGAGTATTGAGCTGGGTGTGGTGGCGTGCACCTTTAATCCCAGACTTGGGAGGAAGCGGCAGGTGGATCTTTGTGAGATTGAGGCCAGCCTGGTCTAAGTAGGGGTTCCGGGTCAGCTGGGGCTACAAGGAGACCCTGTCTTTAAAAAAAAAAAAAGAGTATTTCTGAGCAGTGGGGAGTGAAGGCAGTTTCCAACTCTGTGGACATGGTTTCACATATTTGTAGTCTTTTGTTGAAATCGAAGGTATTCTAGGAAAAACTTTAAAAAAGAATTCTATATGTAGGGAGTTCTATATAAAAGGAAGAAAAAAATTCTTCTAAAATCTGGGATCAATGAGGGCAGTGGTTTCTTTACTCACAGGAACATCCAAGATGATGGATTGAATAGAAATGGAATCAGGTTTTTATTTTTATTTATTTTTATTTTTTTTTTTAAAGCCTTAACCAAGAAAACAGGCTATAAAGAGTGGTCTCATTCATGTATGTCTGCTGAGAGACAAGAACTGTCCACAGAAGACTGCTAGACTCACAACCTTACACAGGGGCTGCTAGAACTCCAACCCCCAGTCCTCGTGTAAGAACATCTACCCAGCCACTGTCCCTTCGCCCTCAGACTGGTGCCACTCTTGTTTTTAATCCTTGTAGCCAAGAATAATGGTTTCCAAATAGCTTCTGCAATCCTCCTCCTTTGACCTTGAAGGCTTGCCCTGGCCTGCACCCTTTTCAGTATGCGCATAGCTTCCTGCACTGTGAGCATTCCCATTGCAATGCTTGCTTGTCCCAAATAGTCTCCAAATACTCAATGGACACTCTCTGATAGTTATTCAGGTTGACAAACCCGTGGATGACTGAAAAGGGGCTGGGTGTGCATTCTGGGAAAAAGCAGTTTCCACATCAGGAGATTTCAGTGGAGAGTCCTTTGTTTAGCATTCGTTCAGTTCATCCAAACTCTGACTCCTAAGAGATGTCTGCAATTCTGACCTCAGGAGTGGGGACTCGGATAAATTCCAGTCTAACATATTCATGTCTCAGCCCTGTCCCTGTGGTCCCTCTCTGGCTTTGTCACAAAGCTGCCTCCCAGAATCCTGTTGTCCTTTGATGTGCTGTCAAAGTCTTTCCTCACCCTGATGATTATCAGCCAGGACTGCTCTGCTTGGGGGAGGGGCAGTGCAGCTCCAAACTCCCCCATCTCTGGAGGGACACTGCAAACCAAATGACAGGCTCTGGAGCCCGCCTGCTGGCTAGCTTGCCTGTGTCTCTTTGTCATTTTCTGTCAGGTGATGGCTTTTTTAAGACTTGTCTTTTCTCAAGGTGCTTGCTCTGTCCATTTTAGAATCACATTCCCTGGGATTTTCAGTGAAACTGAATGACGTTCAGCCCTGTTTAACTTTGTTCTGGTTGTGTGAAGTTGGACAGTGTTACAGAATAGTTATTTTAAGGATCAGCAACCACACTGCCGTGCCTGTGCCTCTGTGTGAATCTGAAATTGTTCTCAGTTGACCCGGATTTATGGGCCACTCCCTCCTTAGCTTCTACCCTCAAGTCTCAGCTTGTAGTCAGCTGTACTGAACTCAAAATACTGAGTGCTGAGCAGCATTCCTCTAATGGGAAGTCACGGGGGACCTTGCCAGTGTATCAGAATGAGTGGATTTAAACTTCAGGTCTGTAAGGGTCTGTAGGGTTTACAAACTCATCCCCAAAATTATACATAGAATTTGAAGGATGGAGATATATATGAAATGGATTTATAGCCTTAACTAGAGCCTCAAAGGATTCTGTGGCTTACTAACATTAACAACTTTGGCTCTATGGCAAATTTCAAATGTTTTTGAAAGAATTTTCTGCCTTTTGGATAATTCTTTACTTTCTTCTGTTAATGTGAGAGAAGATGCTGTCATTTATCATTTTTAGGGAAAAGGTTTTTGTGCTTGAAAGGGAAAATCCTTCTTCATTTCATCTTATACAGATGGCAGAATTGATCCCATCCTCCTGGGTTCTGAAAAGCCATGTTTTTAAAACTCATTTTCCTTTAGCTTCTAAAGTAACTCTAGAGATAAATTCTGCTACATAGAACTGAGAGGAGGTGGGTTATTAGTAGTTCATCAAATGCTCATGTTTGCAAGCTCTGAGAGGCCCAGGCATTTGATACTTGATGGAGGAAGAGAAAACAGCAACAGCGGGCCCCTCACTCATCTACTGTGACACAGAGAAGCTGACTTTGCCATCAACAAACATTTCTCTCTCTCCTAGCCATTTATTTCTCTCACTTTAAAGACCAGTGTTAAGTCAGCCTTGGTAGCACAGGCCTTTAATACTAGTCTTCAGGAGGTAGAGGCAGGTAGGTCTCTGTGAGTTCGAGGCCAGCTTGGTCTACATAGTGAGTTCCAAACCAACCAGGGCTACATAGTGAGATCCTGTCTCAAAATTTAAAAAAGTAAAAAAAAAAAAATAAAAATAAAAATAAATAAAAAAATAAAAATAAATAAATAAACAAAAAGACCGGTATGGGATCAGATGCCTGAAGTCTGAGAATGACTTTTAATTAATTTGTCATTGTAGTTCCTAATTCTTGCTTATTTTTCTACCTCTTTTTTCTGCAGGGCAGCTCCTCACAGAATTAAGCTGGCAAAGGTACGTCTGTGAGGCCGCAGGCCACCAGCTTTCCAAGTCCCCATGAGTCCTGTCTGGACTGCAGTCACGAGCTCTCCTTCAGGCCCTCAGGGCCATAGTCTTGGGAGAGATCAGTCTCCTGGGTGCTGCTCAGGGTGTTGTGTGCCTGGGGCCTAGAGTCTCACCAGTAGACTTCTCTTCCTCCATTGCCTATGGGGATCAAAACACATGGGGACCACTCTGGGTTCCAAAACCCTTTTATGAACTTAAATCTCATCTCCACAAAGTTTCTGAGTCAGTCCTTTCTTCCTTTGGATGGGTGATTTCTTTAAAAACAAAATTCTCTGTTACCAAATCCTCCCTCCCTCCATTTAACCCTCCCTCCTTTCCTTCCTCTCTCTCTCCCTCCCTCCTGCCCTCTTTTCCTTCTACCCTTCCTCTAGTCCAGGTACTTTCACTTGTGTTCATTCTCCACTGATATTTTCTCTCTTTTATATACACATTACTGTGATTGCATCCATGTATATTTTTAAAAAAGATTTTTTGTTATTTTTATTTTATGTGTATGAGTGTGTTGCCTGCATGTTTGTAAGTGCACCTGTGTCGTGCATTGCCTGAGGAGGTCAGATGAGGGTGTTGAATCCCTTGGAACTGGAGTCACAGATGGTTGTTAGTCACCATGTGGGTGCTAGGAACAGAACCAGGTCCTCTGCAAGAACAGCCAGTGCTCTTAACCATTGAGCCATCTCTCTAACCCCAAATCTATGTATAATTTCATGTTGTGTTCTTTTGATGCTGTTCTATAAATATTTTTCAAGTTTTATGTGGCTATCACAATGACCGATTTAAAGACTACGCTCATTTCAATTTATTCATAAATGCTATTTCACTGCTGTTGTAATAAAATTTTTCTGAATAATTTTAAATAGTATTGCTACAGAAAACTTAAAGCACCTTTTTCCCCCCTTGTTTTGTATATTTTCCTGGGGGTGAGGATCTGTTATTATTCTTATTCACCGTAGGGCGCCACAAGCCCCATGGTGCGACAGCTCCACTTCCGCTTCCCTGGCACTTAGCTTCTGTGTGTGTTGAATAAGTTTCTGGAGGTAATGTGGTCTGGATCAAGACTGAAAAAGTTCCATTTAGATTCTCACTTCTAGTTCAATTTGAATGCAGAAGCTGCCCGATGAGGGTTGACCACAAGTGTTCTCTGCTGTGGGCAGTGGGGCATGCAGAGTAAACAGGCCCAGGAGGCATCTCGGTTTTGCCTCTAACCACTTTGAACCAGTTGCTGAAACCCTCCACAGCTGTTTCTTTATCTGCAAAATGCCCCTTTTAAAATGTCTCTCTTATTTATCTATTATTGTATTTCAATGCATATAAAATTATGCTTTTATATTCTTTCCTTCTTTATCTACTTGGGGCCGGGCAGTGATTTCATATATTCAAGTGGTATTCTCTTTATTTTATTTTTGGTCTCTTTGAGACAGGGTCTCCCTGTACCCCCAGCTGGCCTGGAACTTGCTCTGTAGATCAGGCTGGCCTTGAACTCACAAAGATCCTCCACCTGCCTTTGTCTCCCAAGTGCTGGGATTAAAGGTGTATGCCACCACGTCCGGCTTCTCTTTATTTTTTAATTGAAATAACTCTTCTATCTGATCATATTGAATATAAACATCTTCCGTCTCTCCTTGCCTCTTCTACAACTCTGTGTAGTGTTCTTATTCTCAGGGAAATTCATTCATTCTTTTGTTCTATGTGTGTTCTTAGGAATCAAACCTAGGGCTTTGTACATGCTAGGCAAATGTTCTACCTCTGAGCTACGCCTACAGGTCTAGAGAATTCCCACGGAGACATTTACATGGAATCAGGTGCGTTGATACATCATTCATATAACCCTCCAGCAGCCCGAGGTCACATTGTTTCTCACTTTTCAGCATAGTATGTACATACTCAAATATTAAATCACTGGGCCAAGGTCACGTGACTGGTGAGTGGTGGGGCCAGGGTGTGCCCTAGGCATCTGACCCTACTCTGCCAGGCTACTTTCCATCTTTCTTATGAAGTCTCATTTCCAGATTTGAAAAATATATCTCTGTAGTTCTGGAACTCAAACCAAGTACCTTGAACACGGTAGCCTGTGCTGGCACAAGCTACATCCCAGCCCTTCAGAAACACATCTTTTTCTCCATCACAACTAGGTACACAGGTGTATTGAGGAGGAGCCTTTTCTGTTCTTGTCTTTAACTATTTGAAGTGATAACAGCTCATTTGTTATGTAGGTGCTGAGTGATGGAGGCTTTCATGTTTTGTCTGTTGACTACCGAGGTATGTGTTAAGAAGAGTGTGTACAGATGTTTCAGTGAGCAGGAGGATTTTCTAAAGTTTAAAAATATTTTATTAGCAAGCCCACATTATAGGAACAGTGAGACATTTCTTGTTGAAGTTTGGTAGTACAATTTTGTCAGTAAACAATATTCAAAAATTATAATAGACATATAATTTCAAAGTTATATTCTAAGATATAATATATACTTAAAATTTTTTAAATTATTTTTATTTTATAGTTATAAGTGTATTGCCTGCGTTTGTGTAAATGCACCCATGCTGTGCAGATCCAAACTGTAGCCACATTCTGGAGTCCTGGGGTTAGGACTTCAGTGTGTAAAACAGTGACACAGCTCAGCCCACCACGGACACCAGCACCAGGCGTCCCCCTTGGGAACATTGGGCCATCAGTAAGAATAAGGTAGCTTATGCTCATCTGGCTTTTTTTTTTTTTTTTTTTTTTTTTTTTTTTTAACTTCTCAGACTGTGATTTTTATCTCTAGAAGCTGACTTAGGGCACAGGTGAAGGCACACTGGGCCTGTAGAAGAGCAGTGGAAAAATAATGGGAAACGTCTTGGTGCCTGGGAATGGGAGAGGTCCAACATCAAGGCCTGGATGCCCAGGACCACAGCTGGTGCTCAGGGGAGGTGGGAGGTCCATTTAGAGAATCCATCCTCCCAAGACCAGACTCTGCAGATAGCAGAGGCCTCCCCTGTCCCCAGCATAAGGGGCAAAGCCTCTGCCATGTACAACCTGGGACCTCAGGGGAGGGGCTGTGGGGAGAGACTGAAACTGCTGCCCAACAGCAGGAAGTCCTCGATGCCCTACTCTGTTCCACCATCAGCCCACCACCAGAGTGATGTGAAATTATGGCTCATGTAGGGGTCCAAAGCTTCAGGCTCATGTGAGGGGACAACAGCAAGCAGGAGGATTTTGATGACCTCTCAGTTTGGAGGTAATGATATCATTTGCCTTTTCTTGCTGCCAGGGTTTGGAGACTCTACAGGGACGCCCACGGAGGCAGGACTGACCATGGATGCTATTTGTGTCTATGAATGGACGAAGGCAAGAAGTGGAAGCACCCCAGTATGTCTGTGGGGCCACTCTCTGGGTACAGGGTAAGTGGGACCTGAAGAGGCCTTCTTTGGAGGGTCCTTGGAACTTTTGTATCCTATCAAAGACGTAACAAGTAGTGAAGGGACACTGAGCTAGGACACCCACATTCTTCTCTGTTCTCTCACATTCCAGAGATGGAGAGAGAGTTTGCCTTCTCAGTATGCCAGCTTGTGAGACGAGAGTGCATCCCTTAAGCTCTATTCTGGAACAATCCATGGATATATTAAAGAAAAAGACCCTTAAATTAGGGTCTGTGGAATGCTTTGAAGTCCTGTGCAAGTTTGTGTTTGTATAGATTTTCCAGGCAGAATGCCCAGAGCTTTTTCATGAAACATTGATTTTGGATGTTGCAGCTGTGCTGTTCAGTCAACTGCCACGCTTCACATGTGCACTAACTGTTTTTAATTTACAGTGTTGCAACAAATACCGCGAGAGCATTAGAGGAGAAAGGTGAGATAAAATTCTTAAATGGTATAATTTCTTGAATTGAGGTAGGTGAGAAAATATAAAGTCAGGAGGTTTTTATGAAATTTGTGTATACTCTGAGCCCAAGACCCTGAAGGAGCCTCCAGTGTTGGTGTCCCCGTAGGGTTTCCAATCCCTGCCAGCAAGAAGAGGCAAACACAGTATCACCACCAAACTGAGGGGTCATCAAAAGCCTCCTGCTCACTGAAACATCTTTGCATACTGTTCTTAACACATACATCTGTAGTTAACGGACAAGACATGAAAGCCTCCATCACTCAGCACCTACATAACAAATGAATTATTTCAAATAATTAGAAGACATGAACACTTTTGAGGAATTTTTAGCTGGGGGGCTGGGTAGATGGCTTAGCAATTAAGAGCACTTGCTGCTCATACTGAGGACCTGGGTTCAGTCCCAGCACCCACATGGCTGTTCACACTTCAGTTCCATGAGATCTGAAGCCCTCTTCTGGCCTTCACAGGCACTGCATGCAGTCAGTGCACTTACATGCAGGCAAATTCATACATTCAAATTTAAAAAAATTAAAAATACAAATTTTCAAAAAGAATTTTTAGTAGTATAAATACTGCTTTATTGGGTTGTGAAATTATAAATACTAAGAAAATAGAGTTACTTGCAAAGAGTTCTTTTAGCTGGGCATGGTTATACACACTTGTAATCCCAGCACTGAAGAGGCTGAAGCAGGAATATTTTGAGTTTGAAGGTAACCTGGGCTACATTACAAGCCCCAGTATCACCAGAAGAGTCTACTTTCTATGGTGCTGTTAATGTAAATTATAGGATAGGAAAATAATATATTCTGAAATGATAACGGTAGCTAGACTGTCCTCTGCAGCCCTTCTTCACAATATTTATGCCCGTGTTTCTCAAGAGAACTGAGTATCGCTTTCTCAAAATCTGAAACACAGGTTTCTTTCCTGGTTCCATGAATTGGAATCACTGTGAATAGATGTGACCAAGCCATTTGTTTAAAGACCACAAATTAGCATTTACCCCATGTATAGGAATGTTGGATGAGTAAAAGCATGAATTACCCTAGTGGTGCTAAGAAATTTAAAAAATCACAAAACTAAATTGCTTAAAATTTTCTTTTGTTTGGCAGCTGCTTACAAATCCTCATTGCTAAGCCTGTCCACTTTCACTGAGAAAAATATAAAATATAAGTTTTCCTTTTCTCTCTTTATAGCTTCCTTTTTTGGCTAACAACCAAAACCCTGTCTTCTAGCCCTGACACCCTTTCTCTACAGACCCCTCCCCAATGCAGCTGCTCACAGACCTATTTTTAATTCAAAAGCATGACTCTCTCTCGTACAACCCTTGCTTCCAGCAGATGCCACGATTTAAAGCTTGCCTGAGCCACATTCTAGTGTGACCTGTTGTTTTTCTTTCAAACTCCAATAAAAAATGTCCCCGGGCTTCAATTTTTTTTTCTTTTCTTTTTTATTTAACAGCCCTGGGCATCAAACCCAGTGTCTCACCCATGATAAGCAAGACACTACCACTGTGCTACAACCTGGTGTCTTTGGCTTGGTTTTGCTATGACGAGTTATTGTGATTTATTTTTTAAAATTTTCTAGGATGCCCAGTAGATGCTATTGTTTTGGAAGCTCCATTTACCAACATGTGGGTGGCGAGTATCAACTATCCTCTGCTAAAGGTGAGTCTCTGGTTCATCTTGACACGGTGTCAAAGTGTGGCTTTCTCTACATACTTGTGTTTATGAATAAGGCTCCTTTCCTTAACTGCTTCACATGTTCCTGGGTTTTTCTAACCTGTCAGTTTACTTGTCGAAGGGCACATGGCTTTTGGATTCCACAATTCATTTATTTTCTTCTAAAAAATAGAGGGACTTATTAAGTGAAAGTTTTTTTCATTATTAACTGTACTTATATTTTATATTTTTAACTAGACTTAGATTTATAATTATAATTACTTTAAATTGAAAATACAATTTCGAACATCAGTTTCAGCTCTGTGAATGTGAATAGCTATATCTCCTGCATCAGTGTATCATAAAGAAAATTCTAGAGACACAGCTTTTATATAGTGCTCCAGAAATAGACAATGGTCTTCTCACGAAAATGAAGAATTGGGCCACAAGATGGAGTTTTAAAAATCTGTTGTGTAATCTGCAAATGGTAGTGCACACCTTTAATTTCAGCACTGGGGAGGCAGAGGCAGGTGGATCTCTGTGAGATCAAGCCACTCTGGTCTACATAGTGAGTTCCAGGTCAGCAGGGGCTACAGGGAGACCCTGTTTCAAAAATAAAAACCCAACAAAAGACAAACAAAACAAAAAAATTTTCTTGTGTATACTATCCTATTTATTTATTTATTATTTTTATACTATCCTATTTATTTATTTATTATTATTTTTTGAGGTAGACATTTACTCTAGCCCAGGCTAGCCTTGAACTCACACTATGTAGTTCAGGCTGGCTTCAAATTCTTGACAATTTTCTTGTCTCAGCTTCCTGGGTGCTGGGATTACAGACATGAACCACTGCATGAAGCTTATTATCCTAGTTCTACAATGCTATTCCAGACTAAGGTTCGATGGTTTACAGTCATATACCCATGGTAAATGTTAAAGGATGAAGGAAAGGAAGATAAGGACAACAGGAAGGTCTTAGAGGGGATCCAAATTGTTATTTGATGCTGTAAGGTGTTGTAGGGATGTTTTAATCTGCTTACATCCACAATAGTTTTAATATTTTATTTATTATTTTAATTTTATGTTATTAGTGTATTGTCTGGATGTAAGTGCACCCATGTTGTGCAATGCCCATGGAGATCAGAAGAGGGCGTCAGATGCCCAATTGGAGTTAGGATGGTTGGTTGCCACCTTGTAGGTGCTACAAGAGCAGCCAGTGCTCTTAAGTGCTGAGCTATCTCTCCAGATCCTTACTTCCAAAATATTTTGTATAGTAGATCATCATAGAATTTTCTGGAATTTGCTTAATTTAGTTGACTGCTGTCTGGGACAGCAGGCTCACAGAATCACATAATCTTGAATATTCTTCAACTAAATTAAAAAATTCCCTCTACAACCTGAATGTTGATTAATTTAATATTTAAAAAATAAAAGACTTTAGGGGCCGGAGAGATAGCTCAGCAGTTAAGAGCACTGGTCCCTCTTGCACAGGACCCAGGTTCAATTCCCAGCACCCACATGGTGGCTAACAACCAGTTCCAGGGGATCCAACATCATCTTATAACCTCCTTGGGTATTACACAACACAGATGCACTTACATACATGTAGGCAATTCACTCATACACATAAAATAAAAATAATAAATGAAATATTATAAAAAACTTTCAGTAGGCTTAAACGATTGTATATTTGTTTTAACATAACCAATAATTTAGCTTTATTATATTTATTCTAAGCAATTGTTAATAAAATCCTTGAACTGTAGGTATATACAGAATTCAGGTACAATATTTTCATTTCGTTTGTCCATTCTTATATGAATATGGCAATCTTTTAATTATTATAACATATTTCTTGATATTTGGTTTTACAAGTTCATAAGTTTTAGTTTTTTCTTTGTTTTGTTTTTACATTTTGTTTTGTTTTGTTTTGAGACAGGGTCTCACTATGTAGCCCTAGTGGGCCTGGAATTTGTTATGTGAACCAGACTGGCTCTGAACTCACAGAGACCTGCCTGCCTCTGCCTCCCAAGTGTTGAGATTAAAGGCATGTATTAAAGGCATGTACCACCATGCCCAGAAAGTTCATCGGATTTGTTCTCATTAATACAACATTACTATGCCGACATCAGGATCACCTAAACAAGTAGACTAACTTAAATTTAGTGTTTAAGAGTGGGCCTGAACATGGAGGACACCTATTTCCCCAGATATTTCTTGGAACCATCTGTCTCCTGGAGCTGTGCTGATGGAACTCTCTTGTTGGACCTCTGTCCCTGGAATGGTGTCCATGAGCTGGGTCCCACCTATGGTTTTATTCAGGATGGTTTCTCCAGCTTCAATTAGGGAAGTACAAGCTTAGCTACACCTCAATCTTAACAAACCCTTGAGCCTTTTTATCCTTAGTTCTAGAATATCTCTTTCACCAAGGTCACACATCCATCCCAATCCCCACAGTGTGTGATGGAGGTAGGTGCACTGCCTTTCAGTGTTTTGGTATGTTAATTCTCAAGCACATCCACATTCATTCATTCTCCTTTTGGGCAGAGTCCCAAACTGAGGTTCCCAGGAAACAAGATCAGATGCCCATATCACAAAACACAAGAGCACATGGTTTTTTCTGGGATTCATTAAATGTCGTTAGTCCAGATTATGAAAAGTCATTCCCACAATTTAATATTGTGTTGGTTGTTCTTAAACCTTTGTGCGTGTGTGTGTGTGTGCATGTGTGTGTGTGTGTGTGTGTGTATTACATTTCCTAATATTATATACTATCTTGCCAATTTATACAAAAAAATTCTGTGACTTTTATTGGATTGAGTTGGATTTATAAATCAGTTTGGGGAATTGATAACCTTTCTAATACTGATAATACACAAAGATTGTATGATTATTTTTATGCTTACTTTGTGCTCTATTTATTATTTAGCTTTCTTTAGTTTTAATTTTCAGACACACTCTCTGAGAATCAAAGTCAAGGCAGGGCCTTTGTGTATGTGACTGACTGAGGGGTGCTCTGGGGAAAACTGCTAGACTGGAGTCGTAGCATAGGGAAGGAGACCTCAGGGCAGCTTAGGTGAGCCATGTGGATGCTGGGCTTGGAGACCCATGGTTTCTGCTGTCTCATGTAGTAGAGAATGAAGAGAGGGACAGAGACCCAGGTTCTGCTATTCTAGTGAGGGGGGACAGAGACCCCACTTCTGTTATTCTAGTGAGGGAAAGCAGCTGTGAGTCACGGGCAGTCTGAGGGCAACAGGAGGAGCCAGTTCATCGTGTCAAGTTGGTTATCATCTGCACTCCTGTCTTTTCCTTTTTTCTGCCCTTACCTTTGTTATTGCCTTTCCAATCTCTTCTCAGCCCTTTGGATTAGAAGACATGTGCTAATTTTTTCCTTTTTTTCCTCCCAGATTTAATTTGTTATTTGAAATTTTCTTGGGATAGTGCTTATTAGTAATATTTGGTATAATTTATTTTTATTTTTGGCGTTTCTGCTCCTCTATTGTATGCATTAGGGCATACTCTACCTAGGCCACACTTCTGCATCCCACAAATTTTGAAATGTGTTTTAATAATCATTTAGTTCAGGGGTTGACAAGATGATTCAGAAGGTAAGGGCACTTACTGCTAAGCTCGGTGACCCGAGTTTGGTCCCTGGAACCCACCTAGTAGGTGGAAGGAAAGAACTGATTCCCGAAAGTTGTCCTCTGACCTCATACACACAAATAAATAAACACATCTTTAAAAGCATTTAATTATCACTCAGTTAAAGATAATTTATAGTATCACTGTGATTTCTTCTTTGAATACATAGGAGAATTAGAAGTGTATTTCATAACCCTATGCAGTTGGGGAAATTCTTATTAGATGTGTTGTTGATTTCTCCCACAACTCTTCCATGATCTAGGACTAGACTGTATCATTTCACCCTTGAAATTTATGTTGTGTCCTGACATATGGTCAGGTGGGGTGAACGTTCCGGACACCGAAGTGTTCTGCAATTTGTCCTACAGTGTTGTTTTCATCAGTTCCAGCTCCATTGCTCTAAATCCTGTGTCTGAAATCTTACCTTCAAGTTCTGGGAGGCCATCAAGGGCTGTGGCAATAGCCTGTGTCATTTTGGGAGTCTCTTGGACTACCCTGGCCAACAACTCAAAGGGAGGTCTCTCCTGTCTTAATCATCTTTATACCCCCTTCCCCCACTGACCACCTCCCATAGCCCCCCCTCCCCCACTGGAATTAATGCACATACTTTCATTTGCATTAAGGGTTATCACGTCAAGTCAGTGTCCTCAGACGTCCCTCAGTGCAAGTTCATCCACTGAGGTCTAGTCAGCCTATCTAGAGTCCCTCCCTTTAAGATCAGCTCTTCCTTTCCCAGCAGTAATCAGATGCTAATAATTCATTGACTAAGATTGGGGCCTGCTGTCCATTTCCACAGTTCTGTGCTGGGGTTTTCTCTGCTTGAATTTGCATGAGTCTTGTGTATGGTGACACCATTGCTGTAGGTTCATATGAGAAGAATCCCAGGAGCCTGTAAGACTCTTTTTCCATATGGTCATGCACCTCCTCCCTGGCTCTTACAGTCTTTCTGCCTCCTCTTCCACAATGGTCCCTGAGCCCTGGGTGGGTGGATTTTAATGTAGGAGTCCTGTCCAAGGACCAGCATTCTGTAGACTCTTATTCTCTACATTTTGGCTATTTGTGACCTTTTGTGTTCTTGGCCATCTGATGCATGAGGGAGCTTCATTGATGAGAACTGAAAGATGCATTAGTGTTCTCGTCATCCCTTGTTCTATGTTCTGTGAGCCTTAGGTGTAGAGGTTGCATTGTGGATGTGTCACTTAGGCCTGGGCAATTCACAGATAATCTCTGTGTATTACCAGTTGTGGAACTCAGCAATAATCTCTATCTGTTGGAAAACAAGCTTCTTTGATGAGTGGTGACTGGGATACTAGTCTATAAATTTAAGGATTCATATTTGGCACATAGTAAATTACATTTGT